ACCCCCGCAGAGGACCCCCTTTTGTCACAGAGGACCCCCTTTTGTCAGTTTCCCTATATTATTTGTTTGTTTTTCCTGTTCATTTTCATTGCTGAGCCGAAAATAGCTCCTGAATATCGCAGTACATTGCGCCGAGCACCTCCCAAGAAGGCAGCCTTGGGCGTATTCGGCTCCAGTTGGGGCCAGGCAGCCGCCGCGCAAACGCGCCTCCCGCTACCCACCCCAGCTGACACCCTTGCGGCGCATCCGCAGCGAGGCCGCAAACACCGCCACCGCGCAAAGGAGACCGCGCAATCGGCATGGATCGAACCGATCAATCGGAAATTAACGCCCAGGGTTGGCGCCCACACCCACCGCAGTTCCCGTTGAAGACATCCTCTCCCAGGGCCAGGTCGACGCCGGCGTGGGCCGGCAGGCCGGTGGCGATCACGGCGCCCGCCAGGAGCGCGGCCCCAGCCTGCTTGGCTCGCGTCAGGGGCGACGGGGCGGCCTGCGCGGCAACGAAAGCACGCCGGTGTCAGCTGATGGCCACGCCGCTGGGAGACGATGCACTCGATCCGGACATCCTCCTTCGCGACACTCAATGCTCGGAATCATGGTCGATGGCAACAGTTGAACATGTCCGGGATAACTGAATCCCGGGGAGGATTGCACGGGGGGGTGGTTGAAAATGCTCGATTCACGTTCAGCGAGGAACTGCGTGGCAAACAACCCGGTTCTAAGCTTCGAACCCACCCAAAGGCGCGCAAACCAGGCGCCAAACTGCGCCATCACGCAACAGCCCACGGCCATCGACGGCACGAGGAGCAACGCGGCAAACAATCCGGGTGCAAGGCTCGATTCCGCCCAAAAGCGCGCAAAGCGCCTCAGAACTGCGCCATCACCCAACCGTCCAGGGCCATCGACGGCACGCTCGCTGATCGCCGTTCGGGCGCTCGCTCAGACGCTGCGGACAACGGCCAATCGTCCCCCGGCGTCGGCCAGCGGCGATTCGCCACCCACCTCGCATCGCGCCACCTGGCTGCGCGCCTGGACCCGCTGGGCCGCCTTCACGACGGGCACCTTGGCGGACATCATAGCGGAGGCCATGGCGACGGCGGCGGAGGCAGCTGGGAGGAGGGCGGCGACTGGGCGCGGCCTCGTGTGGTGCGCACGGTGGGGAGCAGGGCGGCGGGTGTTCGGGCCAAGTGTTGGGTGCCTGGGGCCGATCTCAGGCACTGGTGGACCAGGAGGAGGGGTAGTGGTTTCCGTGGACGGACTGCCGCTTGGGGGCGCTGCCGAGGTGTGGGTTGTGTGGGGCGTTTCTGGGGCGTGATTGGGGTGATTGGGGTCAGTGACAAGTTGGGACGGTTACGCTTAGTAAGCAAGTTTACGGGAGGCCCAGAGAAGGGGCGAGAGAAAAAATTGCTGGCCGGACTGTGCCCCGTCAGCGCCTGGGCAGTTTGGGCGCGAACAGTCGGGTACTGTGGCCCAAGGCGGGAAAAGTTCCTTGGGGCTGGCCCAAGGCTTGACTGGGGACGTGACTGGCGGCGGCGACGCCTTAGGAGGAGATGCGCCGTACAGCTGCACTTTGTTTTCTCCCTGCCCGCCCGCTCCTTGGGGTTTTTGGTTGGTTTTGTTTGCTTTGATATCGTTGGGACATCGCTGGAAGCTGAACATTTGGGACCGGAAAAGGCACTACTTGGACTACAGGTGATATACCCTGTTTGGGATTGATGGAAACCTTTGTGTATTGGGATGGTGTTGGACATGTGTTCGTTTGACATTTGGACAACGTGGGTATTTTGTCACTTTGTGATGTGTCTGAATATGTAATCGTAATTACATGTTCAGCCTGCCATTGGGCGGGTAGATTCGCAGGGCTGTATCGCAAGGGAAGGTTACGCTTAGTAAGCTAGTTTACGGGAGGCCCGAAAGATGGGCGGGAGAAAAAATTGCTGCCTGGGCTGTGTCCCATCAGCAGTCGCCCAATTTGGGCGCGAACAATCTGGTTCTGTGGCCAAGGCAGGCAAGTACCTTTTGCTTGACTCGGCAACGTCACGGGGGGTGGCGACGCCTTGGGAGGAGACGCGCCGTCACGTTGCACTTTGTTTTCTCACTTCAACCGCTCTTGGTTGCAGCGATCCCAATCCCAATTGGGAACATTGCTTCTATCCTTCGAAAGGATCTGTTGCGCCGAGCCTCCAGCTCGTGTTTGGCACCCCTTTGGAGCTCTCCGGCTATTGCCTCACTCCCCCATGCCCGATGTTGCGGCCCTGGAAGGCGCCGCTGGTTTCCAAAGCTTGCGGGGTCGCCACGCCCTTCGGCTCAGCTGGTGAAGGTGCAGCCGGCTCTCTCCACCACGATTGGTGGGCAGAATCGGGGCGCTCGTTCCCTTGGATGCGCGGTGGGCCCAGAACGATGGGGATCGTCCCCCGGGGCCTGCTGTATGTGGCGGGTGGTGGCGCAGCCGGTCGGTGGCTCGCTGGTCGCGGAGAGACTAGGCAGTGGGCCAAGAACGGATTACACGATTCACAGCATGCGCACACACAAATCCGCATGCGCGATGCCCGATCACAGGTCCATCGCTGTCACATCAAGACAAGACAAGTCAGGTGCACGTTCAGGCACATCATCACCGTCCACCGTTCACCTACGATCGACCTAATGCCCTCTAATTCCAAGCATCGAACACCCGACCCCCTGGCCCTAAGTACTACGACTTCAGAAGGCCATATCTTCGCCGTTTCTTAACGGAATCGGGCGTTTAAAAGCTCGTTGGAACCAGGAAGCTGTAAATAACACTCACAAAAAGTACATTTAGCCAATTACATAATCCTACTCCAGAAAATGTCAAATAACTGCCTTACCCCAAGTAGCCACGTCACATTACTCCCCCCTTGGGGTAGCTTTCGCCCCCGAAAGCACACTATCCCATACTAGTGTCTTCCTCGGGCTTGTCCCTCTTGATCATTTTTTGGAGCTCCCTGGCGTAGGTGAAATTTCCTGCCGGTATCCAAGAGGCATCATCAATACTCCACCCGGTCCATAACACCAAAAACTCCTTATGCCTCCTGCCACTGGGTCCTGCCCATCTCCATCACAGCAGCTTCTCCACTTCGTATGGTTCATCAGCCTCTGACTCGATCTCGGCGTCATCTGACTCCTGTGGGGTAGACCATCTGGACGATCTAAATGGTCATAGCAAACTGGTGTGAAAGACATTATGAATCCTCCACCCCACTGGTAGCTTCAATTCGTAGGCCACTGATCCCACTTGATGGACCACAATGAATAGTCCTACGAACCGTCTGTTGCGCGCCACGGTGAGGGGGCAGGCAAAGCGGTTGTTTGACAGGGAAACTGGTTGCCCAGTGCGGGCACTCGAAGGCCATTAGTCCCGGGACCCAACACCAGATCCCAAGTACTACGTACTTGAGACCACACCCAGGCACCAACACTATAGTACTGGCGGCCACCGCCCTGGTCTAGGTTATTATTATTATTGTTAGAATACGATATCCAAAGTCCCATCGGACCGGATATCGTATTATTGCCCTATGTACCGTCTAAACCGGTACATCACTCCCCCCCCCCTCTTAGTCGCGACCCGTGACGATTGGATGTCCGAGAAAGGCAGGACTGGGCAATCTGATGCGAGAAGCGGGAGGTACTGTGAGCGGGGGGGAAGGGGCGCCAGTAGCCCGCAGAAGGGGCGGGGGGCAAAGAGAGTGCGGGGGCGACGAACACCAGAGATAGCGCGGGAAGGAGCCGCGAGGGAAACAACATGGTGTGTAACGGTGAAAAGTCATTGGGCAACAGTGATGTGCCGAACCCAAGGAGGTGGGTAACAAGAACGCGCAGGGGAAGGCTGTGCGTAGTGGCCAGGGGGGGGCTCACGGTATAGGGGAACCCCGAATAGCATCGACTACGAGGAGCCAGGAAGATGGCATAGCCGGGTCCCGGAAAGGGCGGGCGCGGGAGAGGCACGCACACATAGGGGAGGACAGGCGAAACTGCCCCCTCCCCAAAATGGACAAGAGGCGTAACAAGGAGCAAGGAACAAGGGAGGGGGTGGCATGTCCAGCACAGCCCCCCTCCGAGAATCCGTGGAGAACCCTGCATTGCTACCTCTAAACCCGTACCAAGTAATAAGAGACAATGCGGGCACCCTAGAGGGGTCGCAACAGTCCCCAATGCGCGCCACAACCCTTGGACGGTCAGGAAGGGAAGGGCAATAGAAAGAGAAAGGGGAGAAAGGACCCCCAGGCACTCCCAGAAGGCAGGGTGGAGATCAAGGATCCCGCTGCTCCAGCCAAATCAGGAGAGTGACCCATCGAGCGTCCCGCAAGCACCCCCGCCTGATGAACAACGGGGAAGGGGGGAGCAGGCTCATCCAACCGGAGACGAGGGCTGCAAAACAAGACACAAAACGGATGGCTCAAGAGGAGCATGGGGACCATCCAAGGGCTAGCTCGAAGATGGCGGAGGGCGCCGAAGCGGCGGCTGAAAGGCCTCCTTAGGCGGACGAATCAGCGAAGGGTCCTGCTGAACCTGGAGTGCGAAGCGCTGCAACGCTTCCTCACAATGGGTGAGGTTGCGGAGGGGCTCCCAGAAATTGTGACCCATATCATAGCCCTTCCATTTAACCAAGTAGTAGGGCTGGCTGGTTCGGCCACGCCGGACGATGGTCTTCTGGAGGAGGGCCTCGACCTCATACTTGAGCTCCTCGTCCAAAAGCACCGGGGGAGGAGGAGGAGGCAACACCGAATGACCCTGGATGTACCGGCGAAGCAAGGAAACATGGAAGACCGGGTGCAGCCGGCACAGGGCAGACCGACAGGCAGATCCAGCCGGAAAGCGACGGGATTGATGCGCGTCTGAATCCGGAATGGGCCCACCCACTTGGGCAAGAGCTTCTTGGTACCGGGGATGTGAGGCAAGTGGGCTTGAGCCCAAGCCTTGGCGGGCCGACGCTGGAGGCCGCGGCCATTGCTGCGAAGGGGCAGCAAGGTGCGCTGTTTAAGAGGCAGCGACTGAGAGAAAGGGGCCTGAGGGTGACGCCCATAGTTGAGAAAGAATGGGGAGTAACCGGTACTCTCTTGTTTCGCATTGTTGATGGCAAACTCAGCGCAAGAGAGGAGGCGATCCCAGTCGGTATGGGCAGCCCCAATATACCGCCATAGCATGTCTTCCAATGTACGGTTCGTGCGCTCCGTCTGGCCATCAGTCGGGGGGTGTTAGGCAGAGGAGAGGTGGGACTGCCCGCCAAGGCGAGCCAATAAAGCCTGCCAGAAGGCCGAAGTAAACTGGGGGCCGCGATCCGAGCTGATGGACTCAGGAATCCCATGGTAATGATGAACACACTCCATGAAGATGTTGGCCAGGCCAGCAGCGTCAATCGCGCTGTGGGTGAGCTCGATGTGGACCATTTTGGTCAGTCGATCCACAAAAACGACGAGGGCATCGTAGTGAGGGAAAGACGTGGTCCGAGGGAGCTGAACGATCAAG